AGTATTCCCTTTATTATCTTAGTTAATACTCTAGTACCTACTCTATTAAGGAACCCTACCTTAGTTAGAACTACTTATAGCTCGGATTATAATAGCGGAAAGCGTACGAGACGTATACTCCTAGCGATACGAGCCCTAGGTTTTACTCTACGAAAGAAAGAGCTTTTTCCTATGTAAGGTAAATCGTCTACGTAGTCCCGTAAGGAGATCTAAAATAGACGTTAATAGATAATATTATTATATAACCTAGAACCTAATACCTAGCTATAGACTATTATCTAGAAAGACGTAGTCGATTATACTAGAAACTTAGTTTATTTAAAGCGAAATACCGAGAAACTATTAGGAACTAATCCTTCTATACTACTTTTACCTAGGTAGACTATATACTAGATTAATCCTAAGTACCTTCGATACGAATAGAATTCGATAATAGATATAGATATATCGATAAACTCGGTTTAAGTATTTAAAGCTTCGATATCGCTATCTTTAGATACTAGCTAAAAGCGTATATAAGAAGAAGTAAACTCTACTATTTAACTATTTCCTTCGAAGCGCCTAAAATTAGTAAATCCTTTATCGAAAATAAAGTCTATCTAATAGTTCGTCGCTCTAGATCTAAATCTAGAAGAAATAAAGTAGACTCGTTAAAAGGTCTAGGCTTTAGTTCTTTCTAATATATTATTACTTTACGAGCCTAGATTTCCTTTTCTACTAAAGAAGATATATTACGAACCAGGTCACTTGAAAGGTTACCAAGGGAATTAAGGCACCTACCCAAGGAAGAAGGTTAGCCGATGGAGAACGAGGCTAAGTTAGGTAACTAGGCTAGATCCCCTAGATCCCTTAGATCTCACGGGATCTCGAGAGATCTAGGGGGAGCTATGGGATCTAGGAGAGCCACTAGTATTATATATATACGCTCCTTTACCTAGATAGAGAAGTTCGTAGTTAACTTCGTTAGTAATCCTAGACCTATATTTTAGGATATAGTCCG